GAGCGGATCAAACGGGTCTGATCCCGTCTTGAGCCTAATCATGGTCCAGAAGGTCTACAAAGGGGGACACAGTGTCAGAATTAGACCAGCAGCGGAGGATGGTGGCCTTTTTTGTCACGTGGTTTGATCATTACATGTGGAAGTTGGACGCACTGCTGGAAGGAAGCGAGTCAGTGTGATGTGCTCTGCTACAAATACATGCACTTTGATACATACCAACCACATAAACACTGTTGCACTCCTGTTCATGGCAGAGGTATTCCCTGATGGTGCTGGCCTCTTTCAGCAGGGTAATGGACACTGCCACACTGCAAAATAGTTCAGGAATGGATTGAGAAACATGACAAAGAGTAAAAGTTGTTGACTTAGACTCCAAATCCCCCAAATTTCAGTCCAATCAAACATCTATAGGATGTGCAGGAAAAACAAGTCTGATCCATGAAGCCCCACCTCGCTACCTAAAAGGACCTGATAAAGGATCTACTGCTCATGCATTGGTGGCTGATACAACACTTTGTTCGGAGGTCTGGAAGAGTCCCCCTGAACTATGTGGCTAGTAAGCCTACGGGGAGCAAAGCTGTTTTGGCAGCAGAAGATGGACCTATACAATATTAGTTTTAATGCTGTGTCTGACTGGTGTATAATGTGTTTTGTGATTTATTTAATTCTTTCTTTCTTCTTTAAGCAGGGGTGGCAGGCTACTTAGTTTTTACCTATCAACAGCTGTAAATCAGTTAATGGTGTTGCACATGGTTACAGTCCTATTTAGTGATTACTGTTTTTTCTATGACACAAATTCACTAAAACAATGAACTAAAGATGTCTGGATATGCAGCTTCATGCTCAAAGTTTCATGAAGCATTCAGCATTACTGCTAGGCCACATATGAAGCAGGACGCAGTGCCTTCATTAATTAATGCCTATGAAGTATGATTACAAAAAATAAATAAATATAATTACTGACCCTTTTTACATATTTTTACTCAAAATACTATTTACATGGCTAGGTAGTCATCATGTAAATGGTGCCAATTTGCTTTTTCAAAACAAACATGGGATACTGCTGCACTTTATGTGTTAGCTTTATTTTCTAACCCTACTTTGAATGCTAGGTGATACTGTAGGGTCAGGGTAAGAGAAAACAATACAGTGTCAGTTATGGAGATAATTTAGACAAACTACCGGAAGTTGGAAGCTACTAATGTGTAACATTAACAGTTGCAGCCCTGCGACTATCTAGTTTTCTTAAGCGCTTTAATCTTAAATTCTACTTGTTTTAACTTAAATACTTCAGTGTTGGCTAAGGTGTACCATTTTTCTGGCTTTTGCAGACATTTAATGGTTAACAATGATTTAGTAGGTCGGTGGTTTTCACACTCCTGTAACAGGCATACTGTCATAGCTGACTTTTAGCATCCTTTTCCCTGACTTAAAGCCCAACTCTTAACATTTCCGTAGTCTCTTTAACAATAGGACAACGTACTTGTGTTTTGAGGACGTCGTTCTGGCATCTTAATGACTGAAAACCTTCTCCGTCCACTTTTTTCATTCCTTTCCGAGCAAAAAACTACAGGTCACAGCCGGAAGTGACGATTCTCCTGAAACAAGACCGTTTAAAATGTAACTTATTCTTTACAAGAAACAAGTACACAAAAAATAAGTTACTTTTTAGGTTTGTCTTGCACTTGCTGAACCTTTAAAAAAAATTTCACTTTGAATCATCAGGGCAAAAATGTACAATTATAATTTAACTATAAACAGAAACTTATTAGCCAAATCGCTTCAGCTAACAAGAATATGAACAACTTACCACAGTTTCATGAAACGTTTCATATGCATCTATTGCATTGGACACCACTTTAAGTTTCCATGTCAAACAACGTCTGTGTTTCATAAATAGATGGTTATTTTGGTTTTTAACCTTAAAACTAAAAGTTATGTTAAAAATTACTTATTTTTAACTCGTGTTATTCAGTTAGCCATAAGGGTCTCATGGCACAAGCTTTATTCAGAGCCTTTTGCAATTCATTGAAACATCATAACCCCTGACATTGTTACAATAAAAAGTCCAATAAAGCTTTTCCTGTTCCCATCAAAGGGTCCTGCAGCTGTAAGCCTTCTAAAGTTTCACCCTCCTTTTCAGCTAACAACACCCATCCCTCAGGAATACTGTGACAATGGAGCTGCAAAGACAAAGCGCTCGTCACCCATGTAAAGTCTGTATGTGTCTGTCTGGAAAAGACATTGAAACAAACAGGTTGAAGGGCCAACCGGAGGCTCTTTCTCTCTCAAAATGCCTCCCAGACCTAGTGGTGTCTCTGACAGGCTCTCTCCTGGTGAGCTAGCCTCCATGATGAATGACCACCTTTCCACTCTTTATCGCCCCACTAAATCATGGGCTTACCATGTTTTTATGACCAATTTTTGCTGCTTTGTTTTACTTTCCTCTAGTTTTGAATGAAACTCCAAAGGCTGAGGCCTTATTATTGAATTGGTATTCATGTGGAGATTTGAGATCTAGCTTTATTAATCAAATTCACTGAGACAAATGTGTCAGACCTTGTTTGGACCCGAGTAATGCTCCACGGAGAGATGCTCTTATCTAAAGAGCATCTATTTGTAGAATATTTTATTTTTTTTATTAAAGGTTTCCCTGCGTGGTGTTGTACAGCACTTCTTTATTTTATTTTCGCTGTAATTCTGGAAATGTATAAATTATTGAAATGAATTAGGTTCGAACTTGGAGTTGGTAGTAGCCCAGAGATGAGATGGGCAGGCAGACGGTCTGTCAGGACAGAGAGCCTGAAAAAAGGCTGGACAACTGAGATTGCTCTGAGTTTATGCCTGTCCAAGTTCTTATAGGCATGCTTCTGTCTTTAAGTCTGTTTTCTGTTATGAAACCCCAAAACACATTGCAAGCTTTGATATATTTATTTAATTTTGCAAAACATAAAGCTGTATAAAAATCTAATGTTATTTTAGATTGTTGTGTCAATATAATAGAAATAGTAATCCTTAACAAGGTCCTAGCCTTCCTGTATCTACTTCATATTAAAGTTTCATAGTTAGAGCTTTCTGCAAGTTTTCTGCCAGGGTTTTCTGTAGTGTTTATATCAATAAGAGCTGAGACACCATAGAATACATTTAGGTTGTCTTCTGTAACTGAAGCATCAAAACTGTGGTAATGATTGAAGTGTATAAATCTTCTTTCTTTTCTACTATGTGTAACTGGTCAAATAGTCTTATATTGTAATGCACCAGCTGATGTTACAGCTGGAATGTTAGTCGTGTGCATGATGACACTGGTTGGTGTTTAGGATCAAAGAAAGTAAATCTTGAGTAGATGTGCAACAAACATTTTGATCTTGTCCTTTTCCAAGCTTTGGCTCCTGCAAAGCGAAGCTCTGGCCAGATGTAGTGTACTCTGTCTCCCCCTAGTGGGCTTAAAAAAACTGTCTTTTCTTCTGAGTGACAAACTTTCCAATCTTAGGGGAATAACATGGCCTACACAGATGGGAGGGAAAAAATTAAAAAAGTTTAATTTGTTAAACATTTAATGACCAAGAGCTGATCAAAAGTATTTTGCACATATTTTGCACATAATTTACACTATCCTGCTTATCAGTGATGGAAAGGGTAGACAATCAATATTCACAACTCATTTTTAACCCTTTTATGTTAGAAACCCACAAGCCATAGAAACCCATTCTGTAGTGCACTTATGGCTTTGGGGGTTTTATGATCAATCAATCACCTAAGCAAAGCTTGAGCGTGTGAGCCACTGCCAGGGGAGGTCTGACCCACGGCCTAGCATGACATTGAAGGAGGGAGTGCTACTCACCCAGGAAATCCCATTACACCAAAGTATGATGGATATCGGTACTGGGGAAGCTCATATGTGGTCTGACATATAATTTGTTATAATTTGTAAAAAAGTGTGTGACGATGCTCACCTTTCTCCCTGTCTTTCACATTTTTAGAATTCTGTCCCTTAACACACCCTGACTTGAATACCTGAAGTCTAAAATTACACATCGTGGTATATGTGCTCTCTTTGTATCTCAGATCATACAGAGTTTAGACTGTGAATGACTATCCTAAAGTCTTACACCACAGGTATACTTCCATCCTTTTGAATCTTACAACAAACAGAGCATCTCTGATTCTTAATCTGAGCTATATTTTCAGAAGCAACAAAAAGAGCCAATCAACATCAGTTTTTTTTTCAAACAGGTCAATTATCTTGCTTTTAAAAGTAGCAAGTATACATCAAGCTACAGTTTGCTTTTTGCGTTTTGTTTTGTTTTCCTGAGCTGTAATGACATTTTCTGTAGCAACAGCAGTGAATGAAGAGACAACCTCGGGATTTTGCACTTTTGTACAGATAACCTGAAGATTTCAGCACTGATCAATAAGACCAAATATACAATAGTCTGCTTATGTGAAAAGGTGAACAAAAGAGGGATGTCTGTCTCTATCAAGCAAATAAAATACCGTCTATCAGTAGAAGGGAGACAAAAACAGCGATCCTCCGTAAATAAATGTCACTTGTGCCCCCTGCAATGTGGCACCGTCTTGTATTACTTACCTCAAAAATTAAAACAAAAGGTTAATCAGGCACGGCCCGTACTCTTCTCAACAGTCTCCCATTCTGTTTGTTTATGCTACATCACTCTTCAGTGGCATATTGATTGTCCAAGCTAAGAGAATACCTTTCCTAAAATCAATGAAAGACATCCCAGCATGTAGTCTTTGGATTTCTTTGTCTTTATTTGATCACATTTATCTTCCTAATAAAGCTAGATAAATAAATAATAAAAAGAAGAAAAAGAGCAAGACATTTATATTTTTAACATCTAACTAACACTGGTCTTATCTATTTGTGCTCGTCGCAGTGAGCCAAGTTTGTCTCTGAACTTTCCCCTAGATATGCTTTGCAGATACAGATAAGAAAAAAAGCAAACGGACAACGACCTAATTTCAGTCAATGAGAGGTCACTTGAGAGGACCATCATGGTGCAAGCTTTTCAGCACACCACAAGAATGTTACAAGTGACATTTTAAAGAAGATTAATACCTGTAGAGTGGCTCAAGAGCACAAAAACAAAAGCTTTCAAACAATAGTGCGAACGAAAAGAATTGGACCCACACACGGGAAACTTGTGAGGGATGAGAACTAAGCCGAATGCATGACCTGGAAGTTAAAATTGACACTGCTGGAGCTTTGCGTATCTCAGAAACCCTTCACAGAGTCCAGAGACCATGAAGCTTACCGGGACTATCCTTAAACTGGAGTGCACTCATGGCAGCACAGAGACTAAACTGTTAAACAACATGATGCTGGTTCCTCTACGAGCAAATAAAACAGGTATGATGAGCTTTCACCTAAATTGCTCTTGATTACAAGTATAGATCTTCAGAGTGTTGTCCACTGTCACACCAAAAGATACTGAAACTGCATAACTGAATATTAAAAAGAGATCTGCTTTGAAAATGCATCACTTTGGGAATCTAGTTTTTGTTTTTTATTAATTAGTCTACTTGGGTCCAGCTAACCTTATTTTAATACTCAAAATTATGTACAAGTATGAAATGCCACAGTTTCACAGGGTCCAAGGTCCAAGTCCATAGTCCATATCGGGCATTGTTGCATAAAAATGTTTATGTATAAGGCATAAATTATCAAAATAGTTGCAGATTACTTTTTCCATAGGTCTACATCAGTTTACATTCTGATCTAATGTCATTCTAATTAGGACTCTGTTGAGCTGAATCAGCCCCTTTCCTTGCCAATTTAAATGAAGAAGCTTCACTACTAGGCTGCTCTTTAAATCCAGATAACTGCGAGGCAAATGTATTCTAATCTCTTAATTCAATCTAGCTGATCTTTGGCCACAGAAAGCATTTCCTTGTTAAATTGAAAATCCCTAGCTGCTTCATCTGCCTAAACTAAGTGTGCAATTTACAGACATTATAGCTGGGGGCATGTAAAATATGTGCATTAGTGCAGGAATATTACACCCAGATGGCATATTTGATGGTCAGTGCTTTTAAAGCGAGACAGTCCTGCAACAATAGAGGTAAGATGCAGTTTAGAGCAACACGGTGGGAGGCTGAGTGCCCAGTGTAAAATTAGCCAGAGGAGAGTAGTGGACTTTGGTTCTTAACTGGCTTCTAAACTGCTTTAATTAAATGGGGAATTACCTTTTACTCATGGGTACAGTGTTCCTTAGGGGTCCATGCCATTCATATACAGCTGATATCATTACCTATAACCCTGCTTTTATTATCCTCACACTGTTCCAGCTATGAAGCAGTGCAAAGATGATTCTGAGGGGTTCAAAAGTGCATAATCAGCACCTTTCTGCAAATTCATCTCTGTGTACAAGGGTATTTATTTTCACAGAGGTGAAATATGATTTATTACGTGTTTCTGTTAATGGGTTAGATGGAAGTGTAGCATAATTAGAATGCAGAGTACAGTTACAACTTAAATAGATGGTAATCAGAAGCTACAATCCTAAAATAATTCAAGGATGAGCTGATCGGAGTTGGTCAAAATATTCTACGTGACCTCATAAAATACTTTTTGGCAGAATTCAAGACTTGGTTAGCTAATTGTGACAACAAATATCACATACATGTCTAATATAAAAAGATATTGAAATGGTGATATTTGTAACATAAGATGATAGCCAGAAACACACAACCACACTAATGCTTGTTTTCCAGACTGCTTCTTGTTTATTACACACTTACTCACCTTACACCAGCCAGTTGGATGGTGACTGTTTCATCACATGTAGCCTGCCCTCAGTCACAATTTGAGTTAAAACGCAAATGGAAACAGAAGCTCAGAGACAGGAAAAGCCTCTCCAACTTATAACACTGCTTCTCAAAAAATGCCTTAAAGGTACATTCTGCAATCCTGACTCTTGCACAATTTATATCCAAGAGGTCAAAGGTAAGGTCTGGACAGACATGGAGGTGAAATGCAACATAACAGTGTGGTAGACACAAGGTGGTTTTCAGTGTATTTTTCACTCTAATGTAATGGGGGGAAGAAAGGTCAAGGCAAAATTGTGTTTTCTTTCTTTCCAAGTAAAACATCTCTATCGGTAACTCACTTGATCAGTGTTTAGTTTAGGTAACATCATTTTTTGAATGTAGCTTTCATTCACAGATTTACATGCAACAATAATGCAATGCAGTAATAAGTGGTTTAACGTGCTTTATGCATTTAGATTCAGGTGAAAACATTTTAGTTGTAACTTACCACTGAAAACAAGATCATAACAGATCCTCTGTGTACATCACAAGTTTGTTCCTATCAAAGTAGAGGTTCTTTGAAGTATGGCCATCTTTCTGTTTGTGTTGTTTAGAAGCAGCTCAGAGATATTTATTTATTCGTTTGTGACCAGCTAAAAAGGTTCATAGAGAATCCCACTTTCTTACAGTGGACGGCTTTTCAAACGTTTCCTCGCAGGCATATTATCTGAAAGTTTTCTGCTGTCCCATAGGTTCAGTAGTGTCAGCATCCTCCTCATCCCTGTCAGGGGCCGATGGCGCGAAGACTCAATGCTTCATATGTGCAGACAGAGCCACAGGTAAACATTACGGTGCACCCAGTTGCGATGGCTGCAAGGGCTTCTTCAGGAGGAGCATTCGCAACAACCACACTTACAGCTGTAGGTGAGTACTATCGTAGGGCCAGCTGATTGCTGTACAAAGCATAACAATTTTTCTATACCTAAAACAAATCACCAAAATATTAAAATGAAGTCTTTGGTTTAATGGTTTAACATACTTTGAGCTATAACATTTATATTCAGAAAGTACATTACTAGCAAATTCAAAAAAATTAATAATGGAGCCTTACTTGACCTCTGCTGCTCACTTTAAAGCTGCAGATTAACCATTCAGTGCAACATTAGCTGCGTAAATTCTCTGAAACTCTGACTGAACTGTTTGTGCTTGAGATGAAGCTCTTATACATTACGATGCATTCGTTTCAGGTTCGACAGGCAATGCATTGTGGACAAAGACAAAAGGAACCAGTGCCGCTACTGCAGACTACGAAAGTGTTTCAAGGCCGGAATGAGAAAGGAAGGTTAGAGTTAAGACTTTCTTTTTTGTGTAATACAACTTTCTTTTAGTCTTTAATTTGAAAAAAAGAAATGTACTTAGCTATAACAACCTACATAAAAGGTTCAGCTATACCGTATTGAGAATATTCAGGACCTCACATTTTGCTCTGTATTTTTACATTTAAACCTGTCTGCTTCAATGAAAAATAAAACAATCAATATCACTTCGTCAAAAAAAGCGGAAAAAAAATCTTTCTTGAGAAACAGTGAACGTGTCAGTGTCAATTTCCAGGTGTGTTTACGTGGACTGTGTCTATCGTTGGCTTTATCTTTTATCGACTCCTACTGAGAAGCAAGGAGAAAGCGATGCAATCAAAGGGGCCTCGTTTCACATGAATAATTAACACAGCTGAGCACGGCCAAATATTTGCTCTCCATTTTTCTGGACAGCAGTTGCTCACAACCCTTTGAAGTCACGGCCAGCGGTGTGCTTTTAAACGTGTATTTCATTAATTTGCCTGATTTGCATAACATGTTCTAATAACACTTTCAAGTACAGCTGTTGTGGGAACGGATAAGTAAAATATTGAACAAGTCTCCAGTATCGTGGTATTTTGTACTTGACCTCCGAGTAAGCCGTGTAACTGTTTACTCCAAAACTAAACTGAATTTATGTTCCACAGAAGGCTCATTTGTGACATTGTCATGCAGCACCATGTCAGTGAAGTACAGAGGGACCCTGCTGCTGCTGCTGCTGCTCCTTTTCCTCCTTTAGTTTGATTAATGTGCTCCAGATTGGTTGCTGAGAGGACACCTCTGATGACTGATTACTCTGACACTTGGTTGTGTTGTCTGACTTTGTAGAGCCATTTTAGAATTAGTCTGAGGCCATCCAGATTGCTGTGTTTCTAATGACACTTGCGGATGGGTCAACAACATGTGATGACATCTTCCCTTCAAAATATAATCTTAATCAGCGAGCGCCCAAGCCTCCACATCAACTGTTACTGTCAGTAGCAAATGTAAGAAGCTGTCAAAAACAAAATGTCACATTAAAGCACATCAAACCGAAGAAAGTCTACACGGCTGGATTAAAATATTAACGTCACCAGGTTTACGTTTAGATGTACTACATACTTCTTATTGGTTCCCCATACTTCCTCTTCTGCAACTTTATACTTACCAGTGATAAACCTTGAGTAGGATGTTGCCAGCATTATATGAAACATAATTGTGCACCTATTCGTATCACATTTCATCATCCTCTCAGTTATTTCATATTAAGGAATGTAACATTTACTCACTCGATACTCCTTTAAATCCACTTAAATATGCAAACAGAAGGAAACTTAAAGAGACTCCCGGAGAATTTTATTTTTATCCAATTTGTGCCACATTTCCTGAGTATGCAGCATTTGGCGTGGCTAATATAGCCACAAACAGCAGCTTCAGTGTCACGGGGGATAGAGGGACTCTGTTGAGATGAAGAGTAGGGCATTTCTTTCGGGATGTATTTGCTGAGGAGGCGAGTAAAAAAAAAACAGTCAAGTGCAGGACTAATGTGCGGAGATGCCAAGAAGCTTGCCTGATGGTTCTTTCCTCTCTTTAATGTCCAGCTGTTCAGAATGAGAGAGACTGCATCAACAGTCAGAGAGCCAAGGAGCAGACAGTGGGCACTTTGTCCATCAGTGTGCTGCTGCAGGCAGAGACCACTGTTCAGCAGGTAACACGCTACTGGTCTTAGATGTTTGGCAGAAATTTATCCTTTTTTAATGTGTATACCAGTTTTTTTTAAAAAAAAATCATTTTAGAAATGATTTAAATAAAGCTAAGAGATGGAAAATTCTAAGGTTACATGATTTAAATGAATTAATTTTGGTTCGCAGTAAGCCAAAAAGTTAACTGAATTTAACAGAAAAGGAAAATAGTTTTGATCCTTAAGTATTAAAGATTAATCTGAAGTCAAATAAATGCAAGACCGCAAAAAGATGTTAGAGCACACAGCTACTGAACAAAGTGATTCTTCTTAACTGCCCTGCACTTATGAGCCGTCTTTTAACCTTACAGCAGTTACAGAAAGCATTTCTTTGAAGGACCGTTTGGGTGCATCTCATGATTAGAGGGCAGCCACTAACACTTGAGCCACAGGCGGCCCACTCATGTGCATTTGCATGATATTTGAGCCGATGTGCTGTTTTTAAAACAGCAGTTATCTAAATTCAAGTCTGTTATAATTGTTACACTTTAAATGGAGACTAATATCCAAATTGGATGAAGTGTGCAGAAAAGAGTGTTGTCGATAACACTTCTTATACCTGTAATTTGTTAAGTGCTATGCAACAAACTGTGTTGACACAATGACTAATATGAAGAAGTAATGTGATGTTACAAAGCATTGGTGTGCTTTAGCATTTGTTATCAGGCAGTTTTCAAGCAGGTTTTAAGTAGCACAATGTCACGTCAGACAGTGTCTCTTAGAGTGATTTCTCTTGTTGTACATGTAAGAAAATAGAACTTGGCATTGTCTGATTTTACATAGTATAGTAAGGAACTCAGTAGGACACCATGTAAGACTGCAAGTGTTTGTTATCAGGGTTTACTGCAGCATAGAGAGACGATTGGTACACTAATTACAGCAATGCAGGAATTTTGAAATGGATTGCTATGTGGTCCAACTGATCCATTAAAAAAAAAAAAGCATGTTTGTGGTTTATCTCCTTAATCGCGCACATACACTAAGATTTACGTCCATGGTACTGTGTTTACTGTGAATTCAGATTATACTTTGTTTCTTTCAGTTCCCAGCACTTCTCTCTCCTAGGAGCCATGACATCACCACCAAGAAGACAGCAGGTGTGGGAGAGGTGTTCGAGTCCATGAAGCAGCAACTCCTCCTGCTGGTGGAATGGGCTAAACACATCCCAGAGTTTTGTAGCCTTCCAATAGATGACAGGGTACAAAGAGGATTGAACCTTTTATACTAAACAGCTAAGATATATCTGTCCATGCCAAGTTTTACTCTTTATATTATGTGAAACCCGTGTATGTGTGCTTGCAGGTAACCCTTCTACGAACCCACTCTGCAGAACATCTTATCTTAGGGGCAGCAAGACGCTCACTGCCTTACAATAATGTCATTCTTCTAGGTAGGACAGATGTGTTCTCTGTAGTATTTTGTGCATTGTAGCCTGAACTTCACACGTAAACTTCCTGGACATGAATGAATATCTTTTTCTTAATTGACTAGGTAATGACTTTGTGATTCCGCCGAGAGGTGCAGAAGTAGAGATATCCAGAGTGGCATTCAGAATTCAAGAGGAGCTGGTCAAACCTCTCAGAGAGCTGGTCATCACAGACAAAGAGTTTGCTTGCCTCCGGACGATTGTCTTCTTTGCCCCAGGTTAGTTCAGTCAGCATGTGAGAAGGTGAATGAGGTTGATTTCTGTTTGCCCTTTTCTATTGCACTGAAAAAAGGCATTTTTTTATGTTCTCTCTTGGTTTACTGTTCTTGCCAATTTCAGCTATAGTTTAGTCTGAGCGGCCTGAGTTCAGTATGTTTCAGAGAGATTTTCTAATATCAGGATGTGGTGGCATTCTTGGCAGTCAGGCAGAGAGGCTGCCTGCTTAACTTCATTCCCCATTTACCTGTTGTGGTGGGGATAGACCGGAGGTCCAAAGGGTCTGAACTGGCAAACATATTCATCTCTGTCCAAGACAGAGATGAATATAATCAGTCATATTCTAGGTTTGATTTCAATTTTATCCACATATAGTTCGTTCAACCCTTTGCTTATTTTTTCTTTTGCCTTTGAACTTTTTTTTTAACACTCCCATCACGCCTTTCCCCTAATTATACAAAATTAGCCTTGTATAAGTAATTACATCTGTTAAATAGATAACATTCAACTGGAGAAAAAGTTTGTGAATTTGCTATATTTCTGGATAATTATTACCGTAAAACGTCAACAGACTCTCACACAAGTCCAACTAGCTTCAACTGCTATTGGGTTTCAGCACTTGAACACCATCCTGACGTTTGTTGTCTTTCTGCACCACCTACTGTGGGTGTAGATTCAGTCCACAGATAGATATTTCCTGTAAAAAAGTGATTGCATAACTTGGAATTCATTGCTGCATTAATTAAGGAGAGCTGTGCTGGCCCAGACATTGAAAGGCAGGCCTAATCAACAATGCTTTATAGATGGGATGGGTTTGTTTTTTCTTGCTTCAAACAGAATATTTCGTATTTAGACTAAAAATTCATATTTTACATAATCTATCTACAAAACATTGTTCTAACAGGATTCTGGTTTGTCTTTGTGATGATCAGTTGGGCAGTTCTTATTCAGTGAATTTCATTCTGTGAGGATTGTTGATATTATTTTTATTATTGTCTTATTATTTCTTTTCTTCTTTCATTTACACTTTAAACTTATGGTTACCCATGCTTAGATTAAATTTGACCAAAGTGCATTTATTTAAGTGGTTCCCTTATACAATATTATATTTACGTAAGACTTTCTTACCTTATGTAATGCAGACTGTTCGGGACTTAAGAGTCCTCAGGTGGTTCGACATCTCCGTTTCCAGGCCCATCTTCTCTTAGAAGAAGCAACATGTGAGCAGCGAGGAAGGTTTGGGGAACTCCTGCTGATCCTGCCTCCCCTGCAGAGTGTGGCCTGGCAGATGGTTGAGACTCTTCACTTAGCACAGCTGCTTGGCGAGGCCAAAATGGACAGCCTGCTGCAGGAAATGTTGCTAGGGGAGGGAACTGAAACGGGACAAGGAGTCTGTACAGGTATAACAATCTGCTGCTGTGTTTAGTTAAAGGAAATGTACAAGAAGTCTAAAGTGAGCTTCAACTGACATCAAACTTGAAGCTGAGTCATTTCCAATACGCAGCAGTATATATTTACACTAACTTTGCTATTTTGTATTTTCAGTGTTTATTTTCTGTCACTCTTACTGTGTGCTTCAGTTTGTCCTGTGCCTGCAGGAAATGACCCTACTCAAGACCAGCAGAATGACCTGAATGCTTCACCTGCAACCTTCCCATCTGTGATCTGTCATGCTTCAATGGGTGAGTATTGACTGATCAAACCCTCACTGCTAATTTAACAGCTTATTTGAGAAACTTTGCTTTTGAAGCTATAGCTTTTTAGTAACAACGTAGCAGATCTTCCTACTTTTAGCGGTTTTACGACATCAGAAAAAGAAGCGTATTTACATCAGCATTTAATGGGTAACACCTGAAGCTGAAACGGAAAATAACTGATATGCACTGAATCCTCGTGTGCCATTAAATTTGTGTATCTCACACAGCTCCTACAAGTGGCTTCCTTGCTGCCCACATAGACTGGCACTGAGGTGTACAGACATGGAGAGTCTGCCAGCGTGCCCACAACATACCGAAGGCACCTGTCCACACCAAGAAACCCCGTGAAAAACAACTTAACTGAGGAAACCGGGAAATGCTACAAGTTCAAACCAGCAAACATACTAATACTCACACTCAGCTGCATACATACATAAGCTACATACATGCAATTATGAATCACTACTGAGAAAATAATGTTATTGTTATCTGAGAAACAACAAAAAATATAAAGTTTATATTTTATACAGGAACTCATGAAAAATTGGAATAATGACATGCAACACTTTCTAATGATGAGTGCAAAAGAAAGCTAAGGCACACACTACAGTAAGTAACAAATTATAGCATAATACGTAGAAAGCTGAAATGCAAAATCCATCATCTGTCAGCAGAGGGCACAAAAAGCCAGTGCTTGAACATATTAGTTGGAGCTGTGGGGCTATTGTTTTATCCCAAATGAAAGCCTTGACTAATGGTGTCAACAATTTGCTGCGGAAATAATTAAAGGAGTGTAAAAAAAAAAAAGAATATTTTAAATAAAAACAGTTATCACCATCAACCAGATACCTGCTGTACCTGTTCCTGAAAGAATTCACTTAGATGAGCAGTGAAGGTTGTTATTAGAAAGGTTTGATGTGATGAGTGATGAGGGCTCAACAGCACTGAAGCTTAGAGGCTCAGGGGTAAAACTCAGTGGCAAAATTATGGTCTGCAACCCGTTTCTTCTTTCTTGCTACCCTCATTGTTTTGTTGCCTTCATCCCCACAAAGAAATCCATCCTTTCCTCTACCATGGAGGCATGGACAGCAATACTCACAGCAGTATGTATAATCTAAACATATTATTGACTGTTAGTTCCTTTGTCCTGAATATCTACCACATGTGCTTTCCTAAAAACTAAATACTTAGATGTTGTCTTTTAAGACAACATCAGGTCGGTGACATATTAGCATACTCTTAACTAGTGGAAGAATCATCAGTTTTGGAAGAAGTATATAAAACAATATGTAACTTTAATGTGGTTTGGTGTAATTCGAGAAAAAGAATTGCTTCTTCAGCAAAGACCCTGGAAATTTTCTGGAAGTTTCTATTTCCTTTACAGCAAATGCAGAACAGTGTTTGGCACAGAAAGTATGCCCCAACCACATGTTTGACGCAGAAGAAAAAGAATAAATACACTAAAAGAACTGTATATTTACAATTTTAAAAAAAGACCTTTTTCTAACGTTTCTAACTTAAATAAATACATTTTCCTGCTTATTTTAATGGTAGAGCACAGAAAATTAAAGGAAACGTGCCAAAATCACGTTCTGTCTGCAGAAAGACCTTTTTTGATGGCTGAATCAATAGATAGTGCAGTTGACTCTTTCTCTATTGCCCTGAAAAAAACAACAAACAAAATGATTGTCCGGCAACTTTCCTCAAACTTTTCCTGAAGTTAAAAAAAATAATAATTGGAAACAACATGTAGTGATTACAAAATCTGAGGTTTCAAATTTATCTGTGTTGACCTACATTCACCAATCAGCACGTGTGGGAGAATTGAGAAACAGTTTTATCATGAATGGGAGGATTTTTGGAAACAAAAAGATGAGTGGAAAAATCTCCAAATGGGCATTTTTTCTGAAAAACTTTCTGTGCAACAACACAACTCTTAAGTCAGACTCAGGTACTTTTAATGATATACGGTGCCAGCAGGACTGCTTCACTGAATATAGTCTAAATAAACTTGAGTTTCCCAAACAGACTCTGTCACAGTGTTCATCTTTGAAGGGTTCAGGTTAGGGACTGTAATTACGCAATCATATCTATTTGAACTGACAAATAATTAGAAGTGGATTGTTCATTTTTCACATACTCGCCCAGCACTGACTCTCACAGCCAATCAAACAGTTAATTAGGCTTTTAAACGGGAACACAAGATAGCTGCCAAATTGGGGTCCTTGTCATACTCGGGTTTCATTGTCACTGTAAAAAGGTAAGCAGTGACACTGCTGTGATGTCTTTTTACTTCCCAAGGCCCTGCTGTGAGGCAGTCTATTGATCTGTCAAGCTCAGCAGAGAGCGAAGTGATGCTGAAGTGTTAAAAGCTGAATACTTGCTCTCAGTTGTCAGTGTCATCCCTTACATTCACAGTGGAGGGAGTCCAGAGGCAGGGCTTTTTTTTTGTCTCTGCTAAATGTTCTTTTAAAAACAATATTTAACCTCTTTAGTTTCTACATCAAAGATCAGCTGTCTGCTTTTCATGTAGGAGAGTCACAAATTTGTTGGAGCTTCTTGAATTTCTGCTGTACAAATATTGTCCTGTGTTGAATCGCGCTCTTAAAGGGCATAAAGGGCTTAATTATGACACAGTAATATTTGGTTGTGCCAGGAATTCAGAAAAAAGAAGGGAAACGATAATATCATCAAACCAAGACATGTTAACAATCATACCTTCAGCCATGCAAGTTCTAAAGTTTTTATTGAAACCACACGAATTTCCAAAATTTGATGACCTGTACCATTTGGAACAAAAGAATAGTATACAGAGTTAAGTAAGTAAAAGTAAGTTAAATTCGGATTTGTGAAAAAAAATAAAAGAAAGACTGAGAAACTCTTGTGGTAAACCCCATAGTTTAAAGACAAACACATGATTACAGATTGTTAGTATTCTAAAAAAGTTTCAAACTCCACAGATTAATGCTAAATCTCCACCTCATGGTTGACATCCTTTGAGAATAACAGTACTAAAGTAGCATTGATTTTCTGGAGGACCTCTGCATAATGTCCAAGTGGTGGAGTATGTGCAAAAGAAGAAACCATTAAAATTTGATGTGGATACTATGCATCTTTTTAAAAATAAAAATAAAAAACATCTGAAAATACGGCATTCGTTTTATTGAAAGATATACTCATTTCTGTATTACAGGAGTTATATTTTGATTAGTCAATGAAAAGAACAGCTCATGGTGAAAAAAAAAAATCTGCAACTGAAAGGCCTTGTTTTACCCAATCTTGTAAAGTTGCTAAATGTTGGTCTACATAACAGTTTTGGGTTCTATCGCTAAGAGACCAAGAAAACATAAAAGAGACGAAACAGAAATAGTGGATCAGCCGCTGTATTACTTAAAACACTAAGTACATACTTGACCAATTGCGGGTAGCAACACTTTTTTGATAAAGCTTATAGTTAAGACTAGATCAGTTGACCCTGAACAAACCCTTAATATTGCTGCACTAGTCTCTAAGTGCTGCAAGATTTCATGTATTATACTGTGATGCACTGCGCACTTCTCCTCCACTCACCTCCTTTCACTCTCTACATGTTTACATAGCTCTGCAGAATGTTGACTGTCTGTGCTCTTTCTTTCCTCGTGTCTTTCTTCTTTTCTCTTTTCCCCTCACCCCTCAGCTGGTCATGGCAGATGGTTGCCTTGCCCTGATCCAGGTCCTACTGGAGTGTTTCCTTCTGTTAAAAGGGAGTTTTTCCTTCCCACCATAGTAAAGTGCTTGCTCATAAAAGATAATTTAATCGTTGGGATTTTCTCCCAAACACTGTAAAGTACATCCATTACACTAAAGTGACTGTTGGTTTGATCTGTTGGCCAGTGAGTTTCAGACCTGCTGCCGCTTATACCCTGAAGATCACTTGTGCAATTTTCCATTTAGCTCCCATACTCTCCATCTTACTAACTTCAAACAACTAAAAAAAAAAATCACCTTAACTTAAATAAAACCTACACTATCATTGCCTTACATTTCTATTTCTGTCTTGTACTGAAGTGTGCATTTGCCACTATTTCTAGTCATTTGCCATTATTATATACTACCATTATGGATAACAGATAACTCTTTGCTACCAATAGTATTGCTTTTGCATCACAGGTGGGAGAATTTCTACGTATACATCCAAAAATAAACACGTCTGTTTCCCATTAAGGCAAAGCTGCATGTGTCTTTCTATCCAGACCAGTGGGTCCACCTCCCAGATGTTTTTTCTGCCCCCCTCAGGTAGGATGAACAGACAGCAGTCTTCTTTGTATTATGTGTTTGAAGCTGTTCAACCTAAATATAGCTGTACAGACAGCTGCTCTTGCTTTAATTTCAATCAGGGATCCTGAAGGAACAGGTAGAACTGAATGTTCACTTAAATTATTCTGTTGTTCAAAACCAACCAACCAACCAAAAAAAACAAAAACATTCTTGCTTTGAAATAAAAGTGATTCCTGCTGCGTCCTTCTTGAAGGGAAAATGTTGTATTTTTTTGTTTGTTTGTTTGTTTTTTAACCCTTCTTTCTTTAAATTAAATCCAAACGAAACAAAGGTTCATCCATCCCTGGAATGTAGCACTTATTGTTTTCAGGATTGTATAGATAACCAATGAAGAAAAAAAAGGATCTGGTCTGTTTTTAATACTCTTACAAAGTTATATAACTGTACTCTACTGCCCAGTAAACTTTAGATTATTTAACTAATGGAGACAGACAAAAATTGCAGTGTCACCATAAATCCAGAGTTTAACAGTGTGCCCGTCTTTGATCAGTTGTTTAAGTATAACTATAAATAGAATGGATTCTTCCTAATGCTGCACAAAGTCTGTGCTTAGTGTATTTTGGAAAAGAAAAATGTCCTCAAATCCACCTTATCTATATCATATATGAGTCACGGCTCTGTGTTGAATGTATAATTTTCACAAGGTTCTTAAAAATGACGAAGAAGGTTTACTGGTCCAAAATTCACAATAATAGAAAGGAAGGAAACATGACTGCTGGCACCACAGTACAATGGATTTAAAGATTGCCCAAAAAACGTGTTTGTTCTGTAGAAGTTATGGAACACAGGCCACGGCATGCTTTCTCTGAAACATTGATGATTTATGTAGTTTTGATAACCCGAGAAAAGGTCACTTTAAAAAACCACTCACAGCAAAGGCCCAGATCCACGGACTTCTAGATTTCCCCTCCAGGCTAAAAACTTGAAAACAGCCACACAGATGGAAGTCTCATAGTCCTGAGCAACTGAGAAAATCATTCATCTACACAAAGGCGTTATACAAAAACTCAGTGTGTCTGCTATTTATTAGACAATATAGATCATCAGAGGCCAATGGACAAAAAGACAAACCAATAAAATTGGCCTTTCCCACTTACATATAAGAATTTCAAGATTGTTATAGCACTTTTATCTAGTTTTCTCATGTGAAACAGTGCGTGTAAAACACTCTTTTTCTCTTTTATACCGATTGTAAAAGACTTGCTTTGAAATAGGTGCTATAAACATACCCAGTCTGTCTAATGACCTAACCTTACCTAAATAAAATGTGAACATACTACATACCTAAAATGTAGAACAACAACTACAGAACTCATAAATAGCCATGTTTAAACCCTTACAGGGAATTATTAATTCTATCATGAATACACGACAAACTACAGAAACAAAAGGTGAACTCTGTTGTGTTTATACCCAGTTAATTACAACATATTACACTGATATTCCTGTTCAAACTTATGAGGCACAGTACTTGCAGAAGGCAGCACTTACTTGTGTTGCCTTTGAGCCCTGAATGAATGCTTGTTTAGCACATTTTCAGTATAAACTGGCTGCTACTTCTGTGTTGACCTGCTTGGTTTGTTTGGCCAGGGGAATTCTGGGCAAACGAGTTCAGACGGCGAGGGGTGACGTGGGGACGCAGTAACAGCTGTGTTTGCTAGGACAAGGCAGGGACATGTGTTTGGTTTCTCCTCTGTGTACCTCCCAAGAGCTCCACAATGCTGAAGTTTGGCCACTTGACTAAAATGCACATCCAAATTAGGGCAATCCACATAGTACACACAAAAATACAAAGAGAAAGACTTGCGATGGAGTAAAAAAAAATAAAAGTTGAAAGCTGAGTGAGAAGCAACACGACTGGCTGTTGGCCACTGTGATGTAGGCAATCCTTGAAATCCCCTGCTTACACAGTAAGAACCAAAACTGCCACATAGGCTCATAATTTGGGTTTTTCCACTGTGAAGAAGGACACAGAAGACGCACGTTTGATCGTCCACGTGTTCTTTGTTGAGTAATGTCTTCCATGGTGTGCATTAGTTTCCAGTAATCAGTGTATCATGTACACGTACTTATATCTTGGTTTAAGAATCTGGTTACTGACAGGTGATGTCTTGAAAGTCAGATGTGACACATCAATGATTCAAATTTTTATGGTTATGTACTGACTCAAGAACAGCTATGTTCTCGGGAAGAAAGCACAGCCATGTTTTGGTTTTCTTGTCTTCATACCTTCCCAGAGCACTACAGCGAGAGAGAGACAGTGGGAGAGCACTAAAGTTGTGCAACAGACTTGCGCATTTGTGATGCATTTAGTAACCCCTCTCAGGCTGGGTTTTTCAAGTGCAAAGAAGCAAGTGCAACATGTGCAAAAAATTAATAAAACAATTGCAAAGTGTGTGTGTGTGTGTGTGTGTGTGTGTGTGTGTGTGTGTGTGTGTCTTCAATTATAACTTAAAATGTTTTTATTAATGTGTGCTCAAATACGGGACTTTGCAGGAGTGCTGGACTTTTTTTCAATTTCTTAACAATCTAATAGTCCGACAATTTTTGATGCTTCTGTCCCAAACTACAGATCCTGGTTAATTTTGATGGTAAGAACAACCGGTGAAGATTTCAGGCTTTTATCCTAATATCCTGTGAGATATTAATGTTCAAACATTGCTGCAAAAAGTGACCATTTTTCAAAAAAATATATATATTGAAAAGTAGTTGATATATGAAGTATATGACTTCTTTAAGTTGCTTGAAGACGTTTCACCTCTCATCCGAGAAGCTTCTTCAGTTCTAAGGTCAAATTCAGTTCTAACGCCCACTCACATCCTGGGCCATCTGACCTCAGGAATTCGCATGATAAGGTGGGGCCAGGTTTCACAATGAGCTCACCCGAAACCCTGGCTGATTGGGACCCACACCCAGTTTCACACCTTGGCTCAGGCGATTAGAGGATCATCAGGGGGTCCTTTTGGCCCTCTGTGGGGGGATACTCCCACTAGGTTTATATCTGGGACTCTCCACCATTTGACCTTAGAACTGAAGAAGCTTCTCGGATGAGAGGTGAAACGTCTTCAAGCAACTTAAAGAAGTCCAGACGCTTTTCTTTGCAAGCTCCGTTGATATATGAAGCTAAAATTTCACAGCACATATTATATATGTTCAAACACTGCGCTGTAAACATTGTAACAAAATCGGAGATAGGAAGTGTTCTGAAAATTGGCTGATTTGAGATGGAATTACCCTGTTAGGATCTATTAGTGAGCCATTCATGTGTTATTTATGCGTCTAGACTTTATGATGCTTTATGTGATGCAATTCACATACGGGATCCAGCAACTTCACTGCTTGTTTGCCTGCATGATGTCTGTTCTCCATCTGTATGCCTGATGACTTTAATCCTCTTTCTGTCATAACTGACTTTCAAAACACCACTGCCATTGACCAGATTGGAAGCCTTCTTAATCCAAGACATAAATTTACATGATACACTCATTTGTTGGAGCTAATGCACATTCTGAAAGACATTACAATAAGTACTAAAAGACAGATCTTCAGAAATGCGTTCGTTTATACAGTTAAAATGTTGGGCAGTAATAAATTAAGGCAAACGATTAAAGTTTCTGTGAAAGTTTCTTTGACTTCCTGTAGCAAATATCCTGCAATAACCTTTATATCTAGTTCACCTCTGATACCTCTTTCCCTAAACAAATATGCACAGTGTAAAACTTGATTCCACGACCTGCCTCCTTTCAGCCTGAAGCCAGCCTGAG